AATATATCTGATACCCAGGCTGTAGGGGAAGGGGACATCACAGGAATATATCTGATACCCAGGCTGTAGGGGAGGGGGGACATCACAGGAATATATCTGATACCCAGGCTGTAGGTGAGGGGGTCATCACAGGAATATATCTGATACCCAGGCTGTAGGGGAAGGGGACATCACAGGAATATATCTGATACCCAGGCTGTAGGGGAAAGGGACATCACAGGAGTATATCTGATACCCAGGCTGTAGGTGAGGGGGGGACATCACAGGAATATATCTGATACCCAGGCTGTAGGGGAGGGGGGGACATCACAGGAATATATCTGATACCCAGGCTGTAGGTGAGGGGGACATCACAGGAATATATCTGATACCCAGGCTGTAGATGGGGGACATCACAGGAGTATATCTGATACCAAGGCTGTAGGTGGGGGACATCACAGGAGTATATCTGATACCCAGGCTGTAGGTGGGGGACATCACAGGAGTATATCTGATACACAGGCTGTAGGGGAGGGGGGGACATCACAGGAGTATATCTGATACCCAGGCTGTAGGTGAGGGGGACATCACAGGAATATATCTGATACCCAGGCTGTAGGTGAGGGGGACATCACAGGAATATATCTGATACCCAGGCTGTAGGGGAGGGAGGTCATCACAGGAGTATATCTGATACCCAGGCTGTAGATTGAGGGACATCACAGGAATATATCTGATACACAGGCTGTAGGTGAGGGGGACATCACAGGAATATATCTGATACCCAGGCTGTAGGTGAGGGGGTCATCACAGGAATATATCTGATACCCAGGCTGTAGGGGAGGGGGACATCACAGGAGTATATCTGATACCCAGGCTGTAGGGGAGGGGGACATCACAGGAGTATATCTGATACCCAGGCTGTAGATGGGGGACATCACAGGAGTATCTCTGATACCCAGGCTGTAGGTGAGGGGGACATCACAGGAGTATATCATATACACAGGCTGTAGGGGAGGGGGGTCATCACAGGAGTATATCTTATACTCAGCCTGTAGGGGAGGGGGGGACATCACAGGAATATATCTGATACCTAGGCTGTAGATGGGGGTTATCACAGGAATATATCTTATATCCAGGCTGTAGATGGGGGTTATCACAGGAATATATCTTATACTCAGGCTGTAGGGGAAGGGGACATCACAGGAGTATATCTGAAACCCAGGCTGTAGGGGAGGGGGACATCACAGGAATATATCTGATACCCAGGCTGTAGGGGAAGGGGACATCACAGGAGTATATCTGAAACCCAGGCTGTAGGGGAGGGGGTCATCACAGGAATATATCTGATACCCAGGCTGTAGATGGGGGTTATCACAGGAATATATCTTATACTCAGGCTGTAGGGGAGGGGGACATCACAGGAGTATATCTGATACCCAGGCTGTAGATGGGGGACATCACAGGAATATATCTTATACTCAGGCTGTAGGGGAGGGGGTCATCACAGGAATATATCTGATACCCAGGCTGTAGGGGAGAGGGACATCACAGGAGTATATCTGATACCCAGGCTGTAGGGGAGGGGGGGGACATCACAGGAATATATCTGATACCCAGGCTGTAGATGGGGGACATCACAGGAATATATCTGATACCCAGGCTGTAGGGGAGGGGGTCATCACAGGAGTATATCTGATACCCAGGCTGTAGGGGAGGGGGTCATCACAGGATTATATCTGATACCCAGGCTGTAGGGGAGGGGGGGCCATCACAGGAATATATCTGATACCCAGGCTGTAGGTGAGGGGGACATCACAGGAATATATCTGATACCCAGGCTGTAGGGGAGGGAGGTCATCACAGGAATATATCTGATACCTAGGCTGTAGGTGAGGGGGACATCACAGGAGTATATCTGATACCCAGGCTGTAGGTGAGGGGGACATCACAGGAATATATCTGATACCCAGGCTGTAGGGGAGGGGGTCATCACAGGATTATATCTGATACCCAGGCTGTAGGGGAGGGGGACATCACAGGAGTATATCTGATACCCAGGCTGTAGATGGGGGTCATCACAGGAATATATCTGAAACCCAGGTTGTATATGGGGGACATCACAGGAGTATATCTGATACCAAGGCTGTAGGGGAGGGAGGTCATCACAAGAATATATCTGATACCCAGGCTGTAGATGGGGGACATCACAGGAATATATCTGATACACAGGCTGTAGATGGGGAACATCACAGGAATATATCTGATACCCAGGCTGTAGATGGGGGACATCACAGGAATATATCTGATACACAGGCTGTAGATGGGGAACATCACAGGAATATATCTGATACCCAGGCTGTAGATGGGGACATCACAAGAATATATCTGATACACAGGCTGTAGATGGGGAACATCACAGGAATATATCTGATACCCAGGCTGTAGATGGGGAACATCACAGGAATATATCTGATACACAGGCTGTAGATGGGGAACATCACAGGAATATATCTGATACACAGGCTGTAGATGGGGGACATCACAGGAATATATCTGATACACAGGCTGTAGATGGGGGACATCACAGGAGTATATCTGATACACAGGCTGTAGATGGGGGATATCACAGGAATATTCATTATACCCTTTTAGATTAGGAATAATTCAATTTTGATGCTCCATTAAGGTTCCAATCATTCTATCATATATTACAGTGAATAGAGTTAGGGTAACATGGAAGCAAACCTTTCATTTTGACATCAGTCCTAGTAATAATTGTTTTGATTCTGCTTTGATGTTGTTGTAAATTCCTTCCTGTCAATCTCATTTTTAAGACATCAAATTTATCCTTACCAACATTAAATGATCTGACTAAACTCTAATTAGTGCGACAGGCTGGTCAAACTCATGGTATTTGATGGACAGCAGTGGTACTATCAGTGTCAGACTGAATGTAATCAGGGCAACATTTCTACAATCAGTCACTTATACAGTTTCTGTTTACTTTGACTCCTGTCACAATAAAATTCAGTTAATGATCCCTCAAATATCTTATAACAACTGACAGCCTTTCATGTCAGCTCAAGATTTTTAATTGCTCTCAAGTTTTTTAATAAGGAGAACTGCTTGTCTCTGAAACAGTTCAGTATGAACCAAGTGTCTACTAAAGCTTTGTTGACAAGGGGACAGACCTGTTTGTCTCAGTAACAGTTGAGTATATTATCAGTGTCTACTAAAACTTTGTTGACAAGGAGACAGACCTGTTTGTCTCAGTAACAGTTGAGTATATTATCAGTGTCTACTAAAACTTTGTTGACAAGGAGATAGACCAGTTTGTCTCAGTAACAGTTGAGTATATTATCAGTGTCTACTAAAGCTTGTCTCAGTAACAGTTGAGTATATTGAGTTGAGTGTTAACATGACCAATTTAAACTATTAAACTGTGGAAATTTTTACATTGAGAAATTCTGATAAATTTTCAATTGAATATTTACATACATCATATAACCATTAAAACTTTGCTGGCTATCTTTAAAGAATTTTAGAAAATCCCATTAAAACATCTATAAAATCCCATTAAAATATCTATAAAATTCACATTAAAAGCCATTCTGTTCTGTCATAAGCCCACCCAAATATACTGATGTTCAGTGAAGTCATCAAACAATACTGTAACATACTGTTCTATAATAAGCCCAACTCAAATATACTGATGTTCAGTGAAGTCATCAAACAATACTGTAACATACTGTTCTATAATAAGCCCAACTCAAATATACTGATGTTCAGTGAAGTCATCAAACAATATTGTAACATACTGTTCTATAATAAGCCCAACCCAAATATACTGATGTTCAGTGAAGTCATCAAACAATACTGTAACATACTGTTCTATAATAAGCCCAACTCAAATATACTGATGTTCAGTGAAGTCATCAAACAATATTGTAACATACTGTTCTATAATAAGCCCAACTCAAATATACTGATGTTCAGTGAAGTCATCAAACAATATTGTAATATACTGTTCTATAATAAGCCCAACCCAAATATACTGATGTTCAGTGAAGTCATCAAACAATACTGTAACATACTGTTCTATAATAAGCCCAACTCAAATATACTGATGTTCAGTGAAGTCATCAAACAATATTGTAACATACTGTTTGTTAATAAGCCCAACCCAAATATACTGATGTTCAGTGAAGTCATCAAACAATATTGTAACATACTGTTTGTAATAAGCCCACCCAAATATACTGATGTTCAGTGAAGTCATCAAACAATATTGTAATATACTGTTCTATAATAAGCCCAACCCAAATATACTGATGTTCAGTGAAGTGATCAAACAATATTGTAACATACTGTTTGTAATAAGCCCAACCCAAATATACTGATGTTCAGTGAAGTCATCAAACAATATTGTAACATACTGTTTGTAATAAGCCCAACCCAAATATACTGATGTTCAGTGAAGTCATCAAACAATATTGTAACATACTGTTCTATAATAAGCCCAACCCAAATATACTGATGTTCAGTGAAGTCATCAAACAATACTGTAACATACTGTTCTATAATAAGCCCACCCAAATATACTGATGTTCAGTGAAGTCATCAAACAATATTGTAACATACTGTTTGTAATAAGCCCAACCCAAATATACTGATGTTCAGTGAAGTCATCAAACAATATTGTAACATACTGTTCTATAATAAGCCCAACCCAAATATACTGATGTTCAGTGAAGTCATCAAACAATACTGTAACATACTGTTTGTAATAAGCCCAACCCAAATATACTGATGTTCAGTGAAGTCATCAAACAATATTGTAACATACTGTTTGTAATAAGCCCGACCAAATATATTGATTTTCAGTAAAACTATCAACCAAAATTGTAACATACTATTCTGTAATAAGCCTGCTTCTCTGGCACTCTGTCTTACCTCCCCTGGTTTATTGCAGAATAAATACATTCTGTTTATACAAGAGACAAATAAAGCGTACTTACCAAATTGTAGACAGCTAACAGAAATGCTTCTAGACCACTGGAACCCTACAATAGAGAAAGCAAAAATACATGCATCATATAATTAAAACATCAAAAGAATCAATATCTGCAAAATTTATACTGATGGTATCAACTTCAAAAATGAGATGATTAAGATAACATACACAATCTAGCTAGATTAAAATAAACTACCTGTATATATATCTCTATAACTCATTAGTACCTGGTCTACCTGTACACATCTCAATAACTCATTAGTACCTGGTCTACCTGTACACATCTCTATAACTCATTAGTACCTGATCTACCTGTACACCTCTCAATAACTCATTAGTACATGGTCTACCTGTACACCTCTCAATAACTCATTAGTACCTGGTCTACTTGTACACCTCTCAATAACTCATTAGTACCTGGTCTACCTGTACACGTCTATATAACTCAGTACCTGGTCTACCTGTACACATCTCTATAACTCATTAGTACATGGTCTACCTGTGCACGTCTATATAACTCAGTACCTGGTCTGCCTGTACACTTCTCTATAACAAATGAGTACATTGTATACCTGTACACATCTCTATAACACATAAGTACCTGGTCTACCTGTACACATCTCTATATCTCAGTACCTCGTCTACCTGTACACATCTCTATAACTCATTAGTACATGTTCTTCCTGTACACATCTCTATAACTTATTAGTACTTGGTCTTCCTGTACACTTCTCTATTACTCATTAGTACCTGGTCATCCTGTACACATCGCTATAACTCATTAGTACATGTTCTACCTGTACACATCTCTGTAACTCATTAGTACCTGGTCTTCCTGTACACATCTCCATAACTCATTAGTACCTGGTCTACCTGTACACATCTCTGTAACTCATTAGTACCTGGTCTACCTGTACACATCTCAATAACTCATTAGTACCTGGTCTACCTGTACACATCTCTATAACTCATTAGTACCTGGTCTACCTGTACACATCTCTATATCTCAGTACCTCGTCTACCTGTACACATCTCCATAACTCATTAGTACATGTTCTACCTGTACACATCTCCATAACTCATTAGTACCTGGTCTACCTGTACACATCTCTGTAACTCATTAGTACCTGGTCTTCCTGTACACATCTCCATAACTCATTAGTACCTGGTCTACCTGTACACATCTCTGTAACTCATTAGTACCTGGTCTACCTGTACACATCTCAATAACTCATTAGTACCTGGTCTACCTGTACACATCTCTATAACTCATTAGTACCTGGTCTACCTGTACACATCTCTATATCTCAGTACCTCGTCTACCTGTACACATCTCCATAACTCATTAGTACATGTTCTACCTGTACACATCTCCATAACTCATTAGTACCTGGTCTACCTGTAGACATCTCTATAACTCATTAGTACCTGGTCTACCTGTACATATCTCTGTAACTCATTAGTACCTGGTCTTCCTGTACACATCTCTATAACTCATTAGTACCTGGTCTACCTGTACACATCTCTATAACTCATTAGTACATGGTCTTCCTGTACACATCTCTATAACTCATTAGTACCTGGTCTTCCTGTACACATCTCTATAACTCAGTACCTGATCTACCTCTACACATCTCTATAACTCATTAGCACATGGTCTACCTGTACACATCTCTAACTCATTAGTACATGGTCTACCTGTACACATCTCAATAACTCATTAGTACCTGGTCTACCTGTACACATCTCTGTAACTCATTAGTACCTGGTCTTCCTGTACACATCTCTATAGCTCACTGGTCTACCTGTACACATCTCTGTAACTCATTAGTACCTGGTCTTCCTGTACACATCTCTATAGCTCAGTACCTGATCTACCTGTACACATCTATAAAACTCATTAGTACCTGGTCTACTTGTACACATCACTATAACTCATTAGTATATGGTCTTCCTGTACACATCTATATAACTCAGTACCTGGTCTACCTGTACACATATCTATAACTCATTAGTACATGTTCTTCCTGTACACATCTCTGTAACTCATTAGTACCTGGTCTACCTGTACACTTCTCTATAACTCATTAGTACATCGTATACCTGTACACATCTCTATAACTCAGTCCATGGTCTACCTGTACACATCTCTATAACTCAGTATCTGGTCTACCTGTACACATCTCTATAACTCAGTACCTGGTCTACCTGTACACTTCTCTATAACTCATTAGTACATGGTCTACCGGTACACATCTCTATAACTCATTAGTACCTGGTCTACCTGTACACATCTCTATATCTCAGTACCTCGTCTACCTGTACACATCTCTATAACTTATTAGTACCTGGTCTTCCTGTACACTTCTCTATTACTCATTAGTACCTGGTCTTCCTGTACACATCGCTATAACTCATTAGTACATGTTCTACCTGTACACATCTCTGTAACTCATTAGTACCTGATCTTCCTGTACACATCTCTATAACTCAGTACCTGATCTACCTGTACACATCTCTATAACTCATTAGTACCTGGTCTACCTGTACACATCTCTGTAACTCATTAGTTCCTGGTCTACCTGTACACATCTCTATAACTCATTAGTACCTGGTCTACCTGTACACATCTCTGTAACTCATTAGTACCTGGTCTACCTGTACACATCTCTATAACTCATTAGTACCTGGTCTACCTGTACACATCTCTGTAACTCATTAGTACCTGGTCTACCTGTAGACATCTCTGTAACTCATTAGTACCTGGTCTACCTGTAGACATCTCTATAACTCATTAGTACCTGGTCTACCTGTACACATCTCTGTAACTCATTAGCACATGGTCTACCTGTACACATCTCTATAACTCATTAGTACCTGGTCTACCTGTACACATCTCTATAACTCATTAGTACCTGGTCTACCTGTACACATCTCTGTAACTCATTAGCACATGGTCTACCTGTACACATCTCTGTAACTCATTAGTACCTGGTCTACCTGTACACATCTCTATAACTCATTAGTACCTGGTCTACCTGTACACATCTCTATAACTCAATAGTAAGTGGTCTTTATCTTGGTAAAAGTTAGTTATTATGTCTAATGTCATCCTCATTATGATTTATTTTCTACAAAAAGATTTCAACTCAGAGAATAGTTAAGATTTAAAGCTACCAATTTCAGTGAAAAACAGAGAGAAAAATTTTTCCTTTTCAAAAATCTAGTTTTTCACATGCACTGAATTTCAGATATTTACAAAGGAATTAAAACTGAAGTGTATGCATTTTCTGAGGCTTGAATTCTCCTGCACAGATTAGTAACTCAATTTCAAAACCCACAGTAGATATCTAGGTTGTATATATCCTTTTTCTACTTTAAGTCAGAGGTAACTTGGTGACATGAGAACTTACTGTCCACTAATAACCCCACCCTGACTTTGAAACAGAGGCAACTTGGTGACCCGAGAATTTACTGTCCACTAATAACCCCACCCTGACTTTGAAGCAGAGGCAACTTTTTGACCCGAGAACTTACTGTCCACTAATAAGCCCACCATTGACTTTGAGTCAGAGGTTATATAGTATTCATATCCTGGTTTTATTATAGCAGGATATATAAATAATAAGAGGGAAATAGATTTTAACTGTCAATGTTCAAGTCTGGAATATATCAAACCCTGACTGATTCCTTTCTTGCTAGGTAAAGACTCTATCATAGTGGTTAAGGGGTCTTAATGCAAGAGGAAACTGGAATACTGGGGAAAAGACAAGTGGTCAGGCACATGGCCTGCTGGATTTATCTCCCTATTTAGGTGAAAGTTGAGTGTGTTACCACTGCTACTTCATCACTTGGCCTGCTGGATTTATCTCCCTATTTAGGTGAAAGTTGAGTGCGTTACCACTGTGCTACTTCATCACCTGGCCTGCTGGATTTATCTCCCTATTTAGGTGAAAGTTGAGTGTGTTACCACTGCTACTTCATCACTTGGCCTGCTGGATTTATCTCCCTATTTAGGTGAAAGTTGAGTGCGTTACCACTGTGCTACTTCATCACCTGGCCTGCTGGATTTATCTCCCTATTTAGGTGAAAGTTGAGTGTGTTACCACTGCTACTTCATCACCTGGCCTGCTGGATTTATCTCCCTATTTAGGTGAAAGTTGAGTGTGTTACCACTGTGCTACTTCATCACCTGGTCTGCTGGATTTATCTCCCTATTTAGATGAAAGTTGAGTGTGTTACCACTGCTACTTCATCACCTGGCCTTCTGGATTTATCTCCCTATTTAGATGAAAGTTGAGTGTGTTACCACTGCTACTTCATCACCTGGCCTGCTGGATTTATCTCCCTATTTAGGTGAAAGTTGAGTGCGTTACCACTGCGCTTACTTCATCACCTGGTCTGCTGGATTTATATACCTGTGAACAGCCAGTGTCATTTTCTGTTATTTGATTGCTAGGTTTAATCACCCACTGAACAGAAAGTACATGTCACATTAACATGTGGCCCCCTAGACGTGACTGGTGACTTCTTCACTGCTATCCAGACAGAATAAATATAGGATATTTAATAGTGTCTTCAGTAATAACAAATATATTTCACTCGTGTGGCTAATATTTTTGGTATCTTTCACTCGCACTGTTTCTGAAGACACTATTAAATATTCTGTTTATTACATTTTCATAAAAAAAAATAAACCAAAACAATGGCAAACTTACGACAACTATAAAATGGGTAAGTTGACCATGCTTTTTCCAGACACTACTCACTCATTATACAACGATGTTGTGCGCGGCAAAAAATAGTCCATTTTATGAAAAATCAGTAAAAATATACAGACTCATAAATAAATCATAATTAATGTTTATTTGTGTTTGGACATGGATTTTGTAATTTATTGATGTCACTTACACACAATAAAATGGTTTAAACGTTAACTGAAAAAATAAAAACAATGTTTGATCAATTCTTCCGCGCATGAAAAAGTATGGCACCATCCTAGTCGCTGTCACTATCAATGACACAGATTCTTTTAAAATGCCTTGGTCC